TTCTGTTTTCTCCTCCCCAGTTTTTTTCCTTCTTCCTGCTCTGCTCTCTGTCTGTCTGAAGAGCCTGGGTCTCATCTCCCGAACATAAATTAAGAAGATTATGGATTTGGTATTGTGGGCGTTCAACTCGATTGATAAGATTTTTTCATCAAAGCGACAAGGTCCTGGGGAACCGGCATGTCCAGCTGAGACTCACGCTGTGGGGTACGTCATGGATTCGTGGGGAGTGTGGCAGATGATGTGCCTCTCTGTTCTGTCTCAAGAAGATGTTGAAGACGTTTACATATTTGGACTTATGATAGCAGGGACTCTGCTTTTTGGCATCGGCGGGGCTCTGTTTTATCGACTTTTGAAGAAGACATCGGGAGCAGTTTTGGCCATGGAAAAGCTCCCAAGTCAGTGTGAAGGTTTGGTCCTGGCTGTGGGAATTTTAAATTGTTTGGTTTACGAGCTTAACCGTAAGGTGGAGGCGATTGAGAATCGCAGACCACCTGCAGCTTCTGGGACTCGTCAGCGTGGTGGGTTCGACCTTGAAGAAGACTCATAGCATGGATCAGTGGAATGGAATCCCACAATTAGGCTTTTTCAGAACCAGAACGCCCAGATGGACTCAAGGCTGAAGAAAAAAATCTGTCTACCTGAAGAAAAACAAATATTAAGCTTATCTAATCTGACTCCCAATGGCCTCGGAGAATGGCTGACTATCAAATTTCTCCTGGGACATGAGTACCCAAGGACAAAAGCTTCATCTATCGCATCCCCCCCGAGAACTTTCTGTGCAGGCTTATCAGAACTGCTGGCTGAAAACAACATCTTCAGAAACTGTGGCTGATCTGAAAAAAAAGCTCATGGACAAATCTCAACACCTTGATGTCAAATGCAAATGTAATCAATTGTGCTTGCTGGTAGAGTTTTTTTTATGTCTCAAATCGTGTCCTGATAGACAAGATGTGAAAGATCTTTTTTGTAATACCACTATCTACCCTCATGTTTCTCCCCCTTTTCATATCTAAGATTATTATCTGATAAGGATAAAATGGCCGCGCTCTCCTGTAGTTGCAGCTTCGTGCACTCCGCCCATCTTTCGTGCACTCCGCCCATCTTTCGGACGACTGTACGTACATATTCGCGTTATACCTCGGTGCAATTCCAATAAAGTTTATTCTGATTCTGATAAATGTGTTTGCTGGCAGAGTTTTTTGATGTCTTAAATCGTGTCCCGATAGGACAGAGTGTGAAGAGGTCTTATTTGTAATGCCACTATCCTCTCCTCATGGCTTTCCCCCCCTTTTCTACCTAAAAATGTATTGTGAAAAGGATAAGAGGCTGCGCTCCAGTAGCAGAAGCAATGTATCTTAAACTCTCTTCACTCTCCACCGACTGTTCTCCACTCTTCTTCTGTTATATCCATCACCTGCTACCTTTCTTGACAGAGTTTTAGACTAAGATCAGTGATGAGAAGGGATGGAGTTGTAGCCGCACACACACACACACATGCACAGACGCTAACTTTACCACCTTTTGTTTTTTGGCGGTGGGCGGTAATAACCTAAGCTGAAGAAATGCCAACATTTTGATGTTTAAACTGTAAAATCTGAAAAGAGAACATCAAAAGAAATGTTACGGCTGTGGCTGATTAGGATCACCATACACACCTGCGTCCCTCTCACCCTAATAACAGTCTTAACAAGACAGGCAGACAGAAATGCAGGCTAGAAAGTAAGCCTCAAACAGTTACTGTGAGAAAACTGTAAGTTGTAATGACAACAATCCTGAACTACTGAGTAGCAGAAGGTTATGGTCATCAAATGTTTTGTTTTTTTTACAATTCTACAATTTAATGTAGCCAATATGACAAGTTAAACAGACCTCTCACCTAAAACTGGGGGGAGGGGGTTTCAGAGCTCAGATACAATGAAAGTTAATGAGAGTAATGGTGGGTGTACTCTGCATTGTGAGAGGATTTGAGAAGTTAAAACTGTGAAACACTGAGTGGAATAAGACAGCAATACGTATGTACTGTTATGACTGCTGCTGTAAGGTAGGTGTGTGTGTCAGTATTACTTCAAGATGGACCAAACTGCAACAGGTGGGGAAAAATAAATATCTGGACACAGACTGGCTACTTGATGAGACTACATATATAAAATGACACTGCAGTAGGGCTGCAACTAACGATTATTTCAATAATCGATTCATCGGGCGATTATTTTTTCGATTAATCGATGAATCGGCAAAAAAAAAACGTTTTAATTTCCACCCCTTTATTCCAAAATTGAACATTTGACTGACATAGCAATTCACACAAAAAACAGGTTGCTATTTTACTATTCTGTTAGTAAAAGATTGAAAAATAAAAAAATAAAAGTTAGTCAAATAGCTTAAAAAAATAAATGTACACAAAAATATACAGAAATGTATCTTTATACCTGCACAATATGTAGCTACTTTGTAAAATGTGTCCTTGAGGAAGAGTGTAACCTGGATTAAAAGTGTGGATTATTGTAACCTGGATTAAAAGTGTGGATTATTGTAACCTGGATTAAAAGTGTGGATTATTGTAACCTGGATTAAAAGTGTGGATTATTGTA